GGAATGATGTGCAAAGTCTTGAACACATGAAGAACTTCATCATCATGCTCAAGAGTCTCTTCCTGAACTTTGTCTCCCTGACAGTGCTAGAAGGTGACTTACAAAGGCACAGATGCCCAGTGGAGGTGGACTGCTGGAACACATATGAATCTGCTAGACATGGCCCAGGTTCAGAGTATGTGAAGATTGCATGAGGAATATGCACATTAGCTGATTTTTCCCCACAAAGCTAATAGATGTCTCACTGATGTGAAGGGAATGTTGCAAGGATCTTGATGATTTGATTTAAGCTGATTGATCAGTCTCATTATATGTGTTTGCAGCTGGATTTGGGCATCTTGTTGCTTTGAAGATTGAGTTATCTTAGGAAGAAAGGGATGGCACAAACATATAAAAATTCCTGTAGCAAAAGGAAAACCTTGGGAGAGGAAAGGACAAATGACTCACAATTAGTTTGTGGGAACTGCGGGATGCATGAAATCCTCACCCCGTTTGAGTCACTTTGCCATTAACTTCATTAAGTCAGGTAGCTGCAGGGTACAGAATCTCCTCTGGTTACTATAGAAAGGGGTGCACAGCTGGTGTTTGATCCCTGCTTATACAACCCTAAAAGCTGTCCTTTGCCATAGTTACTGCAGCTGACCTGCAAAAGCACTCTCTTGCAAGTGCTGACTGTATTTTTAGCTGATCTTGCATGTGACTCATTAGGGAGAAATGAGGAAAGACAGTCACATGGGAATTCCCAGCTCCCTGCACAGCACCATAGATCACCACAGCTCAGGAGTCCAGGAGACAAGAAGAAAAGGAGGCATGTTCTCTGCTCAGATGTATCCTGCCACCAGGGATGTGTCTCTAATCTAACAAACAACAAAAAGGCCACTGAGCACACATGGGCCATGGCTGTAACTGATCACACGTACTTAGTGTAACAAAAAAGGCATATAGAATCATACATTATCCAGGCAGTCCTAGACTTTGGTCTTTCATTGACTAATCTGTGTGTGGGTTTTATGATTTAGACCATAATTCCCTGCAGTTCTAGTTTTTGAAGCAGTTTAAATCAGAGGAGGAGAAGTGCTTCCTGCACATAGCACTCCTCTGTAACATACCAGGGGTTCTCCATAAAGAGAGTGTACTGAGATAACAGACAAGAAGTTGGGTGCACCCTCTACAAAGGTGCTGGCTAGACACTTCTCTCACTTTAGGCTCAAGAGGCACCTATAGGTAGCTAATCAACCTGAGATTCATGTATGATTAGCAGTAGGAGCTGGCTAGGCTATGAAGTAGACCTTCAAGGGTTAATGGCCATGTTGTTTCTAGTTAAGTATATGAAAAAGAAATAGTAATACACTCAGGAGGAGAATAAAAGCTTTCATAGTACAAGGTTAATCTGCTGGCCCAAGGCACTACTTGCACAGCTTACACTAGCCCTTTGGAGTCTTAATCTCCCCAGTTCAATGCTGTATTGCTCGCTGTCTGCTTTCAGCATGCAGAACTGGGTGCATTTGTGCAGTATCTGTTTATTGTGCAAGGCAAAGCAGGCATTTTTCAGCAGAAAGATAACAGAAAGCCGAAAGCCAAAAGCCAGGCTCTGTCCACTGGAATTTGTGAAGATTCGAAGGCGTCTTCATGCAAGACCTCATCCAGCTTAGTTTGTTAGCAACTCCATTTGCTACTCCAGTCACTGGGCAGATTAACATGAGGAGTCATAAAAGTCATACTCCATTTTAACTCACAGTGGAGATACTTTGATTTAATAGGGACACAGCTTCTAAATGAAGATTTATGATCACCACTGAAACCAGAGTAGAGGTTTTAGCAGAGAGAGAAAGTCACATAAACTGTCAGAGAACTGTCAGAGTGACCATGGTGTGTGTTTGTCAAGGACCAGTGTTGGTGGCCAAGGAAAGAAAACCTCTTAAATAACCACATATTCCAGAAACATCACCATGTTCCAGGCAGGCAACCAAAGACCCTGAATGGACTAAATAGAGCTCCTTAAGTAGCCAAGCCACAAATCCAAGCCATTGGCCTTCACTCATTTTGGTAAAGTTACAATATCAACTGTCCATACAAACTGAAACTCCCTCTTATTGGTGTCAACCAATATGAGAGTCTTACTTTTCACTGTCATTTGCTCACTGTGAGAAAGTAGAAGGTAAAGATGTGGCCATCCAGCAGAGAGAAGACAACTAACTTCTCCATATCTCATGCTGTGGGGCACATCTTCAAATGAAGGACACAGTACTGACCCTACAGGACTTGTCTCCTTTTCTGCACAGATATTTAAGATGGAAACTGGGCTTAACTTTACACTCCAGTGTAAGTGCAGATCTGAGATAGGTCTGTCAAATCATTAACAACAGAGTTGAAGTTTTAATTCATCTCTGCTTCTAGTTTAGACTGGTAATATTGTACTGAGAGGAAGAGGATATTTCCCCAGAGCACGGGGGTGCCCTTCTAAGTCAGCTATTTGGGTCCTGAAATTGGGATAGTTTCCATTTGTCCAACTCAGAGAACTGAAGAAGTAAAAACATTTAGGCACCAGCCTGAACCCTCCATGTCAAAGTTCACTTTAAGAGTTGGTGGTATGTGTCTGTTGGCTCATGTTTTAAGACCCGTGCCCTGGAAAAACATCTGAGAGTTATGCTGGAAGATTCAGATTCTCAAACAGAAAAATTGACCTTTCCTTCCTCAGAACCCACTGAATTATACATTGCTAAGGGGTTTGCCAAGGTAATTTAAAGACAGCAGTATCTTCTCTCTGCTAAGCTCAACACAATGGTCTGCTGAATGCACTGTGCTGCGAATTCTCCCTAATTTGCCTGTCTTCAAACTGCTCAGAAGAGAACTGTTCAGGACAATCCTATGTGCAGCATCCTAGCTCAGTTTTGACTGCACCAAGTGATGAAGTCCTCTTCATGTTCCCATCCCATTCCATTAACATGCTAATTCCTCACTGCAGGTAAATCATCTCGCCTTGAGTTGCCTTCAGAGCCTCCTCCCACCTCAGACATAGCAAACCTTTTACAGAAGAACCCACCTGGTGAGATAAAGCCTGAAACAAGCTGTCTGCAATCTCACAGCCAACTAGTCTATAAGAAAGGCAAGGACCTCACCTGTTTCAGTTTCGTTCCCACCATGGAAGCACTGCTGTCAAGCACAAATACAACGTTTTTTGGCAATGGAGGAAGATCTGTGGGGGCGAAGTAGTGCACGAAATACCCATTAAGAATCTGTGGAAGAACAAGGAAGAAACTCAGGAAAGGAAGCTAGATCATGATGCAATGACACACGTCATTATGGCATATTTGGTTGGGCACGCCTGATCCTGCTTTCAGTTTCTATGTCTACATTGGAGAACATGAGTGCTCCTTGGTACCCCTCTTAATTCTGGTCTCCTGGTTAATCCATACTTGGGAGCCTACTGGAGCTCTCCACATCTTCTTCCATGGTGAACATTGGAGTTTCCTTCCAGATGTAATAAGGATCCAATGTATGTATCCAGCAGTCAGAACGACAACATGTGTTTGGGAGCTGGCCTTGTATTCAGATATATACAGCCAGTATATTGACAAACGTAAAAGCAGATACAAAAAAACCCCAATGAAGCAGGTACCTGTGGGGTTTAAGTCCATCTTGTTGCTGCCAACTGACTGGTGTTATCTTGGATAGTTTCTACAAGATAGAGAAGTAGCTTTTGCTTGGAAAACATTTTCTAGGACATATGGAACATGCAAGATAATTGAATCATCTCAGATATAGTTACTAAACCAGAAAAGATGCATCATATGTACAGTACCTGAACATCCCCAACACTCAGTTCCCTGTTGACATCGTATCTAATGATGAAGTCTCCCAAAATGCCATTTCGAGCAATCCTGGTTTGCTCGACAACACTGGGGTTGAATGTAACTTTAGCCAAGGTTTTGGTATGTCCAATTACAGTAGAAGGAGGAGGAGAAACATCACCTGTTGAGATAAAATCACAATATTGCAAGGTTTTCCCATTGTCTTCGGGATGGCTAAGTAAAACACACATGGGATTACCATGGAGTCAGGTCAACCAGCATAGTTACATACTGAGATTAAAGACTCAGCTCACCAGTGATAAAAGAAGAACTTAATAGCCCTTCCCCTCTAATTCTAAACTGAAACCAATATTGCAGTGCTATCAAGGATATAAATATTTAGGCAAAATTCCTGTGCTCACTCCTATTTGGAGGTCACTGAACTCAAAAGGCAGATACTCTCTGTAGGACTGTGAATTGCTTTCTGTAACTAATGACCACACAACTTCTGACACGTACGTGGTACACATTCCAGCCAACTCTAGATGTCTAGAACACTGCGACCACACAACTTCTGACACATACGTGGTACATATTCCAGCCAACTCTAGATGTCTAGAACACTGATCCTATACCTGAGATCCTGCCAGTCAATGCAAGCATGACTCATTGGACCTGTTCAAACATCTTCTCTAGCATTAGGTGAATCATACTGCAGACTTCTCCCTATTGGTTATAAAGAGTTCTTGAGGTGGCTTGTTCAGAGGTACTGTAGGCATGGGAGGTAGGATTGATCTGACTAATTGACTGCCAGATCTGACGAGTATCTGATGTGTAATGTCTACATCAGGACAAGTCATCTTAGCTGCCTTTATGTTCAGCAAAAGGTTATCAGGATAGTCACTGCAATTTCAGTCTTACAGATGGAGACCAAATCCAACAGTTGCTAGTGCAGCCATGCTGACTGCATCCCTGAGGTGTAACTCACCCTAATCCCCGAGAGCCCTTCCTGAGGCAGTGAAGAGAGATGTGCCTTTCAAAGGGCATCTCAGCAAGAGACAATAATTTAGGTCTGAGTCACCCTGAAGGAACCTCTGCTCATCTTTTAAGCTGTGATCATTTTCTAACATTGAGGGGTATGGAGATGCCTTGTCTCTGTGGCCAAAATCTCACCTTACTCTCTCTTTGTGTGCCAACTGTTCATTCCCTCTGAACTACTCATAAAGACCCTTACATGAGACTGACCAAAGCTTAGATTTGGCCTTGAACTTCCTTGGATTTAGAGAGTTTTCCCCCTTATCCTAACTAGCTATTGAAAACAAAAGAATAGATTCTCAACTGATGTTCTTCTTGGGTGCTTCAACTCTCAGAGTGATTATTTCAACATTGTCCTGAGGCACAGAAGTTCTATTATATCTGCTCATGTGCTGATTATAATTGATGGGAATGAGCTGTCCAATAACACTATGTGGGGAGTCTCAAGTCCTTGCCAAAGATGGCCCAAGAAGTCTGTGGTATGGCAGGGAAAAGAAAGGACAGGTGAGATCCAGTTGTAGTTTAGTCATTCACAAGGCAAGTACCTATGTCTGAAGTTATTTTCTAGGCTCTCAGTATGCTCAGTGGAGATCAGTATGATACCCCTGGCAAGACACAGCCACCTGCCTTAGGGTAATCTGAATTGTTATGCTCCATTAACAATACTGATCACGATGACAAGGTGCAGGCAGTCTTTGAAAGCTCCTCTCCAGGGGTTCCTATAACACTGTCTCTGTAACAATGAGTGGCATTTCTCCACCTTTGTAAAGTGCTTTGAGCAGCATTAGAGGAACGCAACGTGACATCTGTATGGAACATCGAACACAATCCACCTCACATCCACATCCCACAGTGATTTACAAAGTCAGATACATTTGATTATGTCCATTTAACAAGTAGGAAAATGGAGGGATGGAGTGGTTACCTATCTCACCTGACTTCCCACAGGGCAAAATCCTTAGAAATTCTGGGACTATGGTTCTTGTGGATTTATGGAATGATTAGCCAAAGCTGCTTACTCTCAAGTGCTATGTACAGTCTAGACTCCTCTAGGCAAAGGAATGAAAGTACAAGTCATAAAACCACAGCACTCTAGGATGTGACTTCCATGTTGATTTGGCTTTACTTTTACAGCTGTCCTGTGAGTGCATTTGAATAGACAAGGCACAAGACTGTCCTGCTGAGACAGGGAAGTGTTTTCTTATAGGCCATATTTCTGCACAAATAAATGATAGTTGGAGGATCTGGAATGTGGAACAAACTCATCACATCAGCAAAAGCCTTGACCAAGGAGGCTGATTGACAAACATCAGAATCATGGCATCATAGAATGGTTAGGGTTGGGGTGTCCCTGCTCATGGCAGGGGGGTTGGAACTAGATGATCTTAAGGTCCTTTCCAACCCTAACTATTCTATGATTCCATGATTCTATGATTACCTAGTTCCAATCCCCAAATTACTCAGTTTCGGTCAAGAACTGACTCTGCATCATGGCTTCTCTGACTGTGGCAATCCTGATGGAAACAAAGTGAGGAGTCCCAGCCAGTACATCAAAATCACTTAAGGACACTAGTGTTAGATATTAAAGGGGGCTTATAAAATGATTACCCAGAGCTTTGACAGTTTTTTCTAAGGTCTGTGTACAGTTCAGCTTTCTCCTGGCACAGAAAAGTCATAAATCAATAACTCGATAAGATTTCACCTCCATCTTCATTTGATTTTACTGTTATAGCTGCCCTTTGATCTGATGAATCCACAGATGTAATATGATTTTAATACACAGTGCATCAGATTTGCTTGTACTGGCTTCTCTGGATTTTCCATCTGTCTTCTAGCGCTTCCAAAATTCCATTTATTGCCAGTGTGTGGGAAATGCCCAGAATTCATAGAAATAGCTTAACAGTTCATTTATATTTTCTGATCTATTTGAGGGTTTCACATTACTTCTCAGCTGCTGAAAAGTAAGCATTAGCATCAGCATTAGCATTAGCTGCCTGGCCATATCACATCACAGGTAGTGTAAGTCAGTCTCATACTGGAAACAGAAGCTCTCTCCTTATAGCTACTGCACAAATACATCTGTGGCTGTGGCCTTTGGACTTCCCTTCTGTGTTTCTCTGTCATGAGTACACTGATGGGTGAGCACACACACAACAGCATGAGTTCCAGCCCTCGCATTTCTATGGACTCTGGCCATCTGAAATCAGCTAAGTTAGGTAGACACGCCATGCCTCAGTTTGCCCATGAGTTAAATGGGCATAATCACATGTATCCAGTTTTGTAAAGCACTGTGGAATCTAGATGGGATCATGTGGATCTCACTGCATTCCTCTATCACTCCTCAAAGCACTCTTTGGAGGTAAGAAATGCCATCCTCTGTAACACAGGGAATGCTTTAGGAACCCCTGGAGAGCAGGTTTCCAAGGCTGCCTCACATAACCTCAGCGACAAGAATAGCTGGGGAAGTTCTCCCATCTTCTTCGTAGCCACTCATCTCCCATCTCCAGGACAGAGATTAAAACCAAAAGAATGGTCTGATAGAAAAGGTCCAAAGTAACTTCTTTTTTACCCTGGAATAATAGAAGTCAGGTCTGGAATGCAGGTTATCTTATTCATCCCATCTTCCCTCACCAAATCCCTTCTTACTTGGTTTTATGACATGATCTGGAAAAACTCCAGACCCCCAGTAATGGAAACTCAATACCTGCCCTTGCCAGTCCTTTCCAGAGCTTCACTTTTTCACTGTTAGACATTTTCAATGTCTAATCCACATTTTTCTTTCTAGATTGTAAAGCCATGACTTCTTGTTCTTTTTTATTGACACAGAAAGCACAGTATTCTTTTCCTCCTTTCTTTTATATATTTGAGTACAGTTACTATGTCTTCCCCCAGGTTTCTTTTTCAGGCAACACTTGATACCTGGATCACAACTAATCTCTTCTGTTTATTGGCCCAGTTCTTTCCAAACCAGTGTCTGAGAGAGGAGAATACATGAGATATCGCAGAGTACAGAGTGTGGATGAGCTCCAAGCATCTGAGCTGGTCTGTGTTCACTCTGAGGTAGTGAATAGGGCCTTTAGACAAACTGTCCATCAAATTTAGCTGAAGAAGTAACCAGAGCAGGAAAAAGCATTTTTCTTATGAAACTCTAGTCCTCACGTGATAAACAGTTAAATCTAAATTATTTTGGAGAGTGGCAAAGTCTGGATTAGAGTTCAAATGCAGAGTTCATCCTCTGCTAACAGTGGAAATTTCTAGACACCTGTGATAAGAGATAAAAACCCTTTTGAGACCTATGACGTTGAAGAGAAATAATCATTCTCAAGCAGCCTGGTGTCTCTCTGCCCAAGTTCATGCCTAGTTTTCACACCACTGTACTGGAGGAAAAGGATGAGGACAGTCATCCCTGAGGATGCTGGGTAGGACATCATTCAGAAGTTGGCTCCATTCTGAGGTCACCAGAAAAGGCCAGGATCATCAACCTCCTGTTTTGGGGTTTATATGTGACAGAAGACAACGTCTGCACATGCCAAAAGATCACTTTCCAAAACTCACATGCCTAATATCTTCCTTTGGGAAAAATACAACTCCCAGATGGAGCTGTGTGCGCAGGAATCACTGACAAAGAAAATATCCTGGAAAGACCTCTCATCACATTGTCTCTGCTCCCTATCCAGAGATGACGTACACAGAACTTTTCAAGAGCTTCTGCCTATAGCAAAGCACAACTTTACTTTTCATAAATCACTGGAAGTTTGTGGAACCAAGTACAACCTTTGTGTTTTGGGCCCCTAAACCAAAAACCAGGCAGAACTGGACTCTTTACTGCTCCTGCTCCTACTGCTGTGATTTCTGTGCTATTTTATAAAGGAAAAAGAAAAGTGTCCTTCACTCTTTCTCATCAAGGGACAGTTTTTGTCTATAGATCTTTAAGTTTTGTCTCTTTCGTTCATCACAATGGATACTAGCAGTTTGGCAGGAGTCAAAAGTGCAAATCCTGAATGATCATTAAACAGAGAAATTGATTTTTTTCCACTGTGCTTCCTGCATGATATATTGACTCTATGGATAACATGTAGAAAGCACCACAAATGTAAGAGGATTGGACCATAAAATAAAGGCAGATCAGCCATTCCCCCACTTTTGGTCATCTGAGCTATTGTTACAAATGCTTTCATTAGGTTTGCTACCTGCTTTATTGTCACAAGTTGGCATTTCAGTTCTGAAGAGGCCCTTAGCGACATGGTTTAGTGGTGGACTTGATGATCTTAAAGGTCTTTTCCAACCTAGCTGATTCTAGGATTATGTGAATATGCATCATTGCTGGTGCTAATCATATGGACATGTGGATGACTCCAAAGCCAAACATACTTGATTTTCAACTTCATTTGCCTACCCTACACGGGATCCTCAGGACCTGAAAAAAGAATATAGTTTCTTATCTAGGTCAGCTAGAGTCAAAAGTACTTAAATGACTTGTGAAGCTACATCCCATCCTCAACAATGGTTTCAGGTTGGACACGTTACTCAGACTGCCTTTTATCTGATGGCTTGATGCCACAACACATTCTTTACTCAATACTCGCCAAGTAATTTATTAATGCTTCTCAAAATCTCACATTTTATCATTAACTGGGAGATACTATTAACATCTTTGTAGACACAGGAAAATGAGGAAGAGAGTTTTCATGGCATATTCAAACTCAAACCAGTCAAGTAGTACCATTTTCCAATACCTCCTGAATAGTCATTGTTTTAAGTCATAACCTCATTCATCTGGGGCACAACCATGGCAGCATCAGGTCTAGCACCCTTTGCTGGCCCCTTACTTACCAGCTTGCTACCATCCTCTCCAGTCAAGTGACACTGAAGAGTTTTAAGCCACTTGAATCCAAGAAGACACCAGACACTATCTTTTTGCCTGGTTTACTCCCAGTTTGCAGACTGTCTGCCAAGCAGCCACTCTTTAATATAAGACTCACAATTCACCTGTCTTTCACTTAATAGCCTTCCCCAGAGGTCTCGCTGGATGTGCAGAGCTCATGCTCTGGGGTTTTTAGGTGTTGTATGATCAAGAAGGCTTTGCAGGGAGGATCTAATGATTCATATGTTTTCCTTTTTGGATCAAGCTTGATAGATGACAGCTGGCTGGAATATAGTGGATTTCCAAGTGAAATGCTCCTTGACTTGCCCTTGCCCTTCCTAAGAGTATTCTTGTGGTTTCCGTTTGTGTTTAGGAAGGCAGGAAGCTCCTGTTGTCTTCTCCGGGTGTGACTGATCTTGTTGGCCAGAAAAGGTCACGAGCAATAAATCCTTCCTATCCAAAACAAGCTGTCTTTCTCTATGACCAATATTAGACCGTTCGGAGATCCTCTGCCAATTCTTTCTTTTCTTTTTCCTTCTTTTCTTGTTTATTATCTAGCTGGTGGTAATGTCCTAATCTCCTCCTTTTGCTTTAAATCAGAAAGCCCAGCAAACCTTCTGAATTCATTAATGCTATACACTCCTCTGAGTGGCACTCACCTGAGTACCAACGAAGCCTTGATCTGGCAGAGACACAACCCAGTCCTCACTGCCCATGAAGGACCCCAACAGTTTGGCATTTGTTTGGCATTTTGATGACTTTCAGAGCAGAGATTTCACTACATCAAAAGAGATTTCACCAACTGCATAGGGTGATTCCACATAGAAAGGGTCTGTAATTGAATGCTGAGCAAGGATGAAGCACAGGGAATCTGAGCTTCAGTTGCTTTACCCAATGGGACATCCATTTTATGCACATTTTACTGGCTAGGGAGGATTACAGAATCCTAGAACTTGGGCTCATTTTTATATGAGCTGCTTGAAATCTGAAGCATGATGCCAAGAATGATCAGTGCTCACAGATTGCTATTTGGATAGCAAGTGACCAGAGTTTTCCCTCTATGTCATTTATATATAGGAATTTCCACACTGCACTAGACCAACAGTGTGTCTGCTCTGCTTAGTCTGTCTCTGACCTTGATCAATGCCAGATGTTTTGCAGGAAAACATATGCCACAATGCACTATGATATTCCCAACAGGTGAAAAAGGCTTCCTGTCTCTCCTGATGAGGAACAGAACACGTTTATCACATAGTACATGGATGCACAGGCAAAGACTACTCAGCTGCGTAAGGATTGATCTGAAGCTGGTCCAAGTCACTGAGAGCCTTGATTTCACTGTGATTTGGATGAAATCAGGAGGATCACACTGAGTGATCAGTTTCACTCCATTGCACATGCTTCAGGATCTTCAACTGGCAGATATGAACAGCTCCACTGATTTTGCTGGCATTATGTCGCTTAGAGTAACCCACAAGACTTTACATCCTACTTCCAGGTCAGACTCACCACTTTGGTGAGGATTTCTTGTCAACATGGAGCAATCACAGTATCCTGTGCTCCTCACTGTTATTTTACACTAGAAAAATTACCTTTACACTGTCTGAACAGCGAGCAAGGATGGTTAAGGGTAAGAGCAGACACTCATAATGTGCTTAGTGTTTTGGCAAAACATGGATTTTCCTCTTGGAATTTCCCATGTTCTAAAATGCAGGATTTCCTATCTGCTTTGGCATGGATGGATGGAAAAAACAATTCACTCAAAATAAACATTTCCCAGGAGATGTGGAGCCAGGGAAGAGGCTGCTCCAAGGCTGAGCACAAGGCTTGAAGGCCCAGTTCAAAGCTTGTAAAGACAATAACAAAAAAACAAGTCCTATTGAGTTGAATGGGATCAGCCCTATATTCATTAAGCTTCAAAGTTCTCACAGATATCACAGAGACACAGTGATCTACAGAAACTAGAAGAAAAGCCATCAGCCTTGATGATAAGACTGAATTCCCACCACTGAACTGCAGAGGTCATAATCCTGAAATCCCTTTCACATTATACCCAGCTTTCAGGAGATTGCCCTGCCAGTGAATGAGAGATCTCTAAATAGAAACTTCTGATGGCCTGCAATGCTTAGACACCTGCTTGTCACTCAAAGGCAGCCACCTCTTGGGTGGAATGTACCTGTTGTGCAAGGAGTGCAGCAAGAGTTAAGAAGGGAGCATAAAAATATAACTTTCTAAATAAGGTCAAAGTTGAAATTTGCCAGAACAATTTATGCCTAATGAGCTGCTCACATTCGTTTTTCTTGTTGTGTTCATGAGGTGTGTCCTCTAGTTTCTAATACAGTTTGATCTTGGACAATGCTCTTTGGTACAATGGTGGGGTTTTGTTTAATGCCTTATTTATAGCAGAGGAAAAGTGAATCATAGAATCACAGATTGATTTGGGTTGGAAAGAACCATAAGATCATCCAGTTCCATACCCCTGCCATGGGCAGGGACACCTCACACCAGACCATGTCGCCCAAGGCTCTGCCCAACCTGGCCTTGAACACTGCCAGGGATGGAGTATTTACCGCTTCTCTGGGCACCCTGTGCCAGCGCCTCAGCACCCTCACAGTAAAGAACTTCTTCCTTATATCCAACCTGAACTTCCCCTATTTCAGTTTGAACCCATCACGCCTTGTTCTGTCACTACTACCCTGATGAACAGTCCCTCTCCAGCATCCTTGTAGGCTCCCTTCAGATACTGGAAGGCTGCTATGAAACACCAGTCTACACAGCTATCCAAGAATGCCTTGGAGAACTCCCAACACCACCAGTCCAGATCCTGAGAAGTGATTGAGGCCCCATTTATGAGGGTCATAAAATCTCTTCTTACCTTCAACTTTCCCGTTGCCTTTGTTCTTGCTGTTCCGCAGGGGAGGCACTTCCAGTGAAACTATTCCTGACTTCTCCAGGATGTTCACCTCCACTCGTAACCTCCCCACCAGCTGCTGGGGCCGGATGCTGACTGTGTACTCATATTTCCCCAATCTCCTTTGCAAAAGCTCTTCATAATGCAGTAGGAACTTGGCCTGCATCTTGCGAGGAATGAAGACAGAAGCTTTGAATGTCTCATAGCCATTCTCCCTGGAAGGAAAATCCAAAGACACCTTCACACCCCATACACATCACACACCACCTGCTCCAGTGATCAATCTGGATTTTGCTGGTCCAATGAAAGTGTTTTCTGTCAGTAAGCATGTGAAACCAGAAAGAAAGAAAATATCATAATGCTTCACAAAGCATTGGGCACAAAGGTTTCCACAGGAGGAAAGGTCCTAAAAGGTGAGATGACTTCTTGAGGTGAAGAATATGACAGACACGTATTACATGGTGCAGGGCCAGAGGAAAGGCTGTCTCTTGGTTTCTTACACAGAGGATTTGCAAGACCCATAGTGAATTCTTGACTTTGCCATTGCTGACTCATTGCAATATCTTAAACATAGTACAAATGAATTTCTCTTCCCTAATATTGGCTGCATTTAGCTACATACTCAATGGGGAGAAATAGGAATTCCCTTAAGGGGAATTCTCTTATGGGAATTCCACCACTGGACACTTCTTTAAAAGGACTTCCTATTGAGCACAAAGTGCCGTCAATTACCCAGCACACAAATGCAGTCAGCTATCTGATTGCCAGTTTGCAGTGTCCAGCCAGGCATTGATATGATGCCAGGCATTACTGTCTGTGAAGGGAAAAGAAGACACTTAACAAGAATGGAATCTTTTAATACCACATAGGAGTAACTTCACAACTTACTGATGTGAGGGTTTGGTGATGCCCACAATTTGGTGAGTATTGAAAAGTCCCAAGTCTGGGGACTAAGTGTGGATCCAGCTGCACCCAGAGTCCCTCTGAGAAGGAGTTTAGAAAGCAAAGGTGCCCTTTCTGAACCTCAGGACTCAACAGGAGGGTCTCCCTGGTAGTTTTGTCTGACCCTGTCCTCTATGCAGTAAATAATCAAGTGTATCTTGCCATCGAATCTTGTTAAACCACTGTTTCATTTACCACTGAACGTTGTTAGGTCACTACTTTATATCAATAAAGAACATCATTGCTTCTATCTTAGAAGACTACATTCACAACAGTGCCTTAATTTTCCTGCCTGTTATTGAGGAAGTAACATGTTTTCCTTCCCTCTGTAGTACATCCTGGAGCATCTTGGAAGTGAAAATGTTGTGTAACAGGGTTATAGAAGACCACATGCCATTTTATATGACTTGGAAAATGGGAACGACACCAGGCAGTGCAGTTAATGTTCTACTTAGCTGCTTCTCCCTATAAATGCATGGATGAGTACAACAAAGCAGCCAAAATAAAGATGGGAGGAGAGAATGTCACTTCCCAGAGACAGCCAAATGCACAACACTTACCTTCCTTCTGTGGAGTTTGGAGGTTTCTTGTGCCTTGCTTTGTCATCACTGCTGTGTTTCTTTTCTTTCCCTGTGACCTCCCCATAGTAAGTCTTGTTGCCAATGATCCTGGAGAGACCAGAGATGTCAGCATCATCACTCTGCACCTATATGCATGACAGCTGTACAGTCTTCAGTACAAGGGTTCACAGATTGTGGACATGTGGATAGGCTGGTCTCAGATCCACCACCTGAGTCAATACACATGGCAATATTCGGGATGACTGCTTTCAAGCAGCTGCCTCCATGACTGAAATACTTCACCTTGGGAGTGAGTTACAGGACCATGGATTCCATAAGGAAGCAGCCCTTAAGATATATGTTGCTTGGCCAATGACAAAAGACTGCTTTTCTTCCTACTCAGTCCAAGTGGAAGTCTTTCTAAAAGGAGCCGTCCCCTATCTACTACTATGGTCAGGTCTGAAGCTGTGGCCCCAGTATCTACCCATAGAGAGGATCTGAGCATGACCGAAGCAAACATGCTTTGAGAGTTTAGTTTATCCTTAGTGAGTCATTTCAGCATGAGCTGGGTTGCCTTATACTTGTTGTATTATTCTCAGAGAATGACTAGCACCTCCAGCAGCAAGTGAACCTATCTGCCAGTTGGACTTGACTCATTGACAGTATGGACAACCTGGAACAATAAGGAGCTTCTTAGGCACCACATTCAGTTAGATGAGATAATGATCATATGCCAGTGTTGCCAAGACTTTAATTGAAAAGGTTTCTGAGGGCTAGGAGAGATTTTTCTGGTTCAAAACAGAGAGAGAGGAGGAGAAGGAAGTTGCTAAAAGACATTCAGATATGAAATAGAATTATTTTCTTCCTATATACATTGAGGACTCGAATCTTAACATCTCGTCATCCAAGGGCATGCTTTGTGCTTTGGGGCTATAACCAGTCTCAGATGGAGTATAGCATGTGTGAGGTTTTATTTTTCCCTTAAAAAAGCAAAAAGGCCTTGATACAGCCCTAGTGCAGTCTTTGAAATGCCAGAGAACTATCTGTGGGATGGGAGAACCATTGTCCACCCAGCTGTCAGCATTACTTACTTACATGGTAAAGTTGGAGATGAAAGCTGGAGCTGGGATCTGCATCTCAAACACAGCCTCTCGTGCCTCAGATCCACTGTTCACCATCGTGCAGATCACCGTGGTGAAAGCATAGCGAGAAATGATTGTGGATTTCACATTGAATTCAGACATCCGAGGCCTGGTTTCCTGTTGGTATCAAAAGGTTACCTATTAACACTGACAGTGGATAACTCACCCCTTCAGTGCTTCAATAGCTTTAGTACTTAATATCATCAAGAAAATCACCACCCTATGTGTATTAAACTCTCCTATAAAACACAGTCAACAGCAGGCGAAGTGGGCTTGCCCTCAATATTTCAGGTGAGCTGCAAAAGGTAAACCAAGATAATGGCACTGCCTTTGTTCATACACAAGAGCAAAGGCCCCAGTCATTTTCCAGTGGGGAAAATGGCTGTGGGAAAATTTTCCAGCTTGGGAAGGGTCCTGGAAGGATGAAGCTCTGATTATGCCAGCCGTTATATTGTGAAACACACTGACAAAATCTACCTGTATCCTAAACTGCAGCCTTCAGCTCTAATCATGTGAAAGGATCTCGATTAGTCCTTTGTGGCCTGGGAAAAGAAGCCTAAAATAGGTCCCCACAAGGTCCAGAACTATGTCATGGAACCTGCCCTGTGTACTGTGCACAAGAGCAGATGTAAGACCTCTTGAAAGACTGAGATCACTATGAAGCAGCACCTCCAAATTCATACAGTCAGATCCATAAGTAATGTAAACTACTGCCAGTGGAGTCAACTGAGTCCTCCTCTGCTGAGAATCCATCCAGGAGCTCTCAGCCAATGGATGGAAGAGACTTAATAGGAAACACTGACACTGCGATGTCTCAAGTGAAGTATTTTAAGCCTTTTAGCCCACACTGGATTCCTTCCAGCAGAGAAGCAACAGAGACTGCAATGAATGACACATGATGTAGCAATGGAAGCTGAAAGCCAATTTCTGCTTCTTGGGAATGTGTTTTTGCACACAAGGCCTGGGTTGGAGCATTTCTTCAGTCTAATGTGTTTTATGACAGCAGCGTCTCCATGGAGCTCAGCAGTTTTCTTCCTGGAAGACTTCAGTGTATTTAACTGTAAGCAACCCATGAAAAATATCCCTATGTTGCTTTAAACAAAGACCAAACCCTCAAAAGCAGGAGGAAAGTAAACAGTGAAACACATTCCAAATACAGAGCAACTTCACTGAGCCAAATACAGTGAGACTTTTCCTACTGAGCAAACACCTCAGTCAGAAAGCCTCTGGTCACACCTACATTAGAGTTCTGAAGTCAGGAACATGCTCTTCAGCTGCACTTCCAGGCTTTTTTCTTCAGAACAAAAATCATTTTGACAAATGGCTTAACAAGTGTCTAAGTATGAAACAAGAACATTTCTGTAGTAGCTGATGGCATCAGAAGCAGTATTACTACTGAGCATCCCACTAACCAAGCTGCTGGCCTAATGAATTCCAGGCGAGTGGAAGAATGAGGATCCACTGGAAACAAACATAAAACTGTCAGTAGACTTGGAATAAAGCCCTACCTGCCTCCACTACCAAGGCTTGGAAAAACTCTGATAAATGTGTCTCAGATGAACCTAATCATGATATCTTTAACACCTGGAGGGTATGTGATGTGCTCTGTGTCCATGACCATCCTACTTAGCACAGGCTCAGCTCACACAGAGAACAATGGCAAGGACTTCTAGGGTGTGATTTGTCTTACTGAGTCCAGACAGCTCAGTGTAATAGATCTAGACTAAAACACACCTGCCTAGATTCCACACACACCCCCCCTTAGGCTACTAGTGGCTTTTACTCAGTCACTGTTGATTAGGAATAGACCCTGTTGTTCTTAAGACCTTCCCCGCTCCATAAGCATGGCTTCCCAGTCTCATTATCCTGGAAATGGAGAGGATGGGGAGTTTTGATCAGAAGTAGTGCTTGTAAGAACGTTTCCAGATGTAATGAGTTGATGTTTCATTCAGGCTTCCATATCACTAATTGCCTGTGGCATAGCAAGAGATACAGAGGATTTAATGAAAGAAGTAGAAGAATCTAAGAGAAACCACAGCAAATTCTTTGGTTCCAGATCTTCTGCATCCACTACCATGTTCTGCATTTCATCATAAGATATGGGTTCAAACATAGTTGACAGCTCAACAGCAAAAGGGGATCAAGACCTATGCCTTTTAATTGAGATGCAAGTGGTTCTGCAGTGACAGATCTACCTGACTGTGTGAATTCAGTGATGTATTCACCTGAAGTCAGAAAGTCTTTAGAACATGACAGAGGACATGGACTTGCCCATGTTACAACCAGAACTTAAGAATGGTTGTATTGGGTGAGAACAAAAGCAATTCTAACCCTGTAACCTATCACTGGCAGAGATCAATACATGCTTAGAGTGTAAAATCAGTCCAACCTGCACTGATACTACACAGAAATATTCTGCTACAGTAATTTGTGGCTGAAGGAACTTATGAGCCAAGGGTGGTATTTTTGTGCATAGCAAATGTCTGTAGATTTTCCTTCTACAGCTTTACCACAGCTGCTTTCTGAATCCATGTGAACTTCCAGCATCTGCAGCACTTTGTAGCAAAGAGTTCCACACATTAGTGGTATTTGTATGAAGAACCACATCACTTAGGGTGTTAGGACAAGGGGTGATGGGTTCAAACTTAAACAGGGGAAGTTCAGGTTAGATCTAAGGAAGAAGTTCTTTACAGTGAGGGTGCTGAGGCGCTGGCACAGGGTGCCCAGAGAAGCTGTGGCTGCCCCATCCCTGGCAGTGTTCTAGGCCAGGTTGGACAGAGCTTTGGGCGACATGTTCTAGTGCGAGGTGTCCCTGCCCGTGGCAGGGGGTTGGAACGGGATGATCTTACAGTCCTTCCCAACCCAAACCATTCTGTGATTCTATGATTCTGTTGAATCTGAATCTGCTATTTGCTGGCTTCAACTGATCTCTGTCATCTCTCTCTGTACAACTGAACAAGCTCTACTTCTGATACCCTCACAGACTGAGGAACAGCAAAAGCAAATGAAAAAAGAAGACATTCAATGCTTCTCCCTCTTCCTGGTGGATAAGAGTTGCTGTTGGGGAAAGCAAACACTGAGTAAGGACATCACATACAACTGAGGATGAAAGAACCGATTCATCTTCCCGTCCCTGGAAGGGATCTGCCATTCCTTGTGTACAGAAAATATTAACAGTGGGAGCAGAGGCAGTTTCCAAACAGGTTGCTCGGTCGGGCTTGGCTGGCAGCCCAGGTTCCAGTCCATGATTCTTCTGCTTTCCCTGGAGCTCTTACACAATCCATCAGTGCCTGATGCTCTGACTTACAGCTGCGCAAATGCCTGTTTGTTTTCTCCGCTTTTTATTAAGGCCTTCAGAAGATGAGAGGCAGCACAAAGGAAAAAAACAAAACAAGCCATTTGTTTAATATTATTATTACTGTAATTTATTATCCCTGTTAAAAATAAAGCTAGGGAGTGCCAAGGCAGCAGATCAGCACGCTGCTGTGAGGCATGTTGGCTGGGTGCTTTATGAAGGTGTCCTGGTTATGATGATGAACTGGGAGCTGAGATTTTCTTGCCAAGCACATTGTTTTATGCTTGTTTACATCAAATGTTTGGAATGACAGGAAAAAGCTGAAGGAAAATCAAATACATTCCAGGTTTTTACCTTTATCAGTTGCGTTCATCAAAACGAATTGACCATATCTCAGATTAGAAGTAATAAACTGGTAGTAAGTGTGAGAGTTGCTCTCTTCTAGGCTGCTGATTCAAATCTGTCAAAGATCAAAGGGACCAGAAGCTATAAACATGTGACGGCTGCTGAGGGCATGAAATGAGTTCCTCCAGTTCTCAACTGGGAAGCCCCCATCCCTCAGAAAAGCCAGATGAATATGGCTATGAACAGCAGTTTCGCTGGCTGCCTTTTTAGTGAAAGATTTGAACTAAGCTATGCAACTTCTGGTAGAGCAGCTTAGCCAGATCTCACAGGTTTGCTGCACATCTAAAGCCTAGGTTCCCTTGCTGAAAGAAGGATATTGGCTTCCTTGTTTTCTTCCTTCCTTCAGTAAATTTCAGGCAGAGATCTTCAAATTTCAAAGCAAACTCTTCAAATTCAATGAGATTTCACCATTATTGTTCATTGCATGGTTAAGGTTTGTAACAATGGATGTTCTCTCTCCAAAGCTGGGGTCGAGAAGATGAATTGGGAAGTATTAGAAGAAGCTGTACGTGTTGCAAGGATCAGAATGAAGATGTACCTACCATCATCGGCATAGTCCATTCCTGGGCACAAGCACGCACACACATATATGCATAGAGCAAGTGTCATTCCCAGAAGGTGAAATGAAGACACAGTGTGATACATACCAGCCTCTGCAGAAACTTGGCCTGTCGTGGAACACGGCGTGCAACCTGCGAAGAGTTAAGGCGGTTAATGGAGCCTAGTCAGCTTAGAGAAGATATGCCACATGCTTAAATCCAGACATGGGTTTGTGTGACTGGTCACCCATGGCCAGGTTTAAGTGTTCCTCTGGTTAAAATTAACACCTGAATCACTCCTATATGAACAAACCCATTGATCAAAGCTCAGCAGTGGAATGAGGCTCTCCGCAGGTGAGGAGGCACTTACTGTTTTGCAAATGCTACTTGTTAAGAGACCCTCTATATGAAAACAGAAACCTCAGCCCTCACTCTGGATGCTCTGTCTTGGCCCTGGAAGTGTATTCCCTTACAGCTTTCTATAGAGTCACACAAAAGCTCTTTGTCATACTGTTGCATGTTATACAGTACACGATGAGAAGGGCTGCTAAGTGGTCCACAATGCTTGAGCAGCGACCAGGTTAACTCCTAGCACCCATGTGGTGGGGTCTACGAAGTGTAACTCCATTCTACTGCACGTGTGGACCTGCTCCAAGGGAGGACTTGGGTAAACTAATGTTATGGCTTCAGTTTTATTGATATTACCTCAACAGCAGTTTTGAGTCACCTCAACACTCTCCACAGGTACTATGGGTTTACTGTGTGGTGACAGGAAAGGACTAGTTATTGCAAAAAGGGAATAAAGGAATTCAAATTCAACCACAGATTTTATTATGAAACAAAGTGCTTCACCTATGACACTGCAGTAGTATTCATAGTATCATCCTTCACAACAACAAGAACGCCTCTGACTTCTTCCCTGCACATGCTGTAAGCCTGAGCTTAGCAACCTCTCCAAATCAAATCCCTCCCCAAAACAGTGTTCAAGTCTCTTGTCAATGAGGAAAGCCAAGTGACTTCTTCAACCAGAGAGCAGAGGAATGCAATGATATTTTTTTACCTGATTTGCCCTTTCTGTTGATTTACACTGAAACAACAGCAGCCCTTGCCAAAGAGATGATTTTGTCTGTTTATATCACACAG